GGGAGAAAACCCGAACAACCAAAGATCCATCCATATATATATGTTGATCTTTGTGAAGCAAGCAAAATGTACGAGGGAGGCCTCTGATCTCCTCTCTGTCTCCTCTTAGGATGACAACAAGGAAACGGATGGCAGCCTCCTGGGTGACCCAGGGCAAACCCCTCCCGGGAAGAAGGAGAACGTGAAATGGCAGAAGCCGCGGCTCACACGCAAAGCGCTGATGAAATGTTGCTTGGTGAAATGGATCCTCTCCAGCGCCGCCCCTCAGGGGTCAGGTGAGTCATGAGGCCATCATGGGGCAGGGAGTTCCACAGGTTGAGGCCATCATGGGGCAGAGAGTTCTGTAAGTCATGGCTTCTCCTAGTTTCCTCGTCTTTTCTTGGCTGACGGTTGTGTTTTTAACAGCAGCACAAGTTTCTTGGTGTTTGGAAAAGGGGAACCTTTTTAAGAAGGATGGGGGCTGGTCCTTGGGACCTTGCATTGTTTGTCTGAATGGGACGTCAAATTTCATATTTTTGACCATCCTGGGATTTTCCTAAATGCTACACATTGTATCCCTTGGTTTCTTAGAGTTCTCCTGCTGGAAATCTTGAGGAAGTTCTTAAACTTTGTATTTCAGTCATTTGTGTTCATTTTTGGGCACCAGGAGGCGCTGCACTGCCAGTTTTGTTTCTAGTTCAAACTCAACACAAGTTGGACTTGATCTGTTGTGTATTCAAACGTTTGTGGCCATTTGGTCACACACCCGTTGCACTTGGATGACAATAGTGAGGGCCTTTGGATTTTACAACGGGGTGCCTCAACCTTGGCAACTCAAAGAAGCGTGGACTTCAATTCCCAGAATTCCCCTTAGATCAGGGGTCTTCCAACTCAACAGCTTTAAGACTTGGTGGACTTCAACTCCCAGAATTCCTCCTCCAGTCATGTTAGCTCAGGAATTCTGGGAGTTGAAGTCCACAAACCTTACACTTGCCAAGTTGGAAGACAATTGCCTTAGATCATGCTTTGTCTTTGTCTATATATGGTGTCAGCAATTTGTAGGAGAGGAAGTCTGCAGAGATCAATGCTTCCCGACTCATCAACCTGAAGATATGTGGACTTCAACTCCCAGAATTCCCCAGCCAGTCTTTAGTGGTAAGAATAGAGATGTGCAGACGAAGCCAAAGAAAACTCTTAATTCACGGTTTATCAACCGTAGCAACTTTGGGGTGTGCGGACCCCGACTCTCTCAGCTGGCTTGCAATGATTCACTTTGCAAGTCTGGCAAGAGAGATCATAAAACGGAGCAAAATTCACTTAACAACTACCTTGCTACAGAAAAGTTAGGCCATTGCCAACTGAGGACTTCCTGCAGTTTGAAACAGACGCCGGTATTTCTAATTCCTCTCGTTGCCCAAGAAGGGGTCGAGGGCCTTTGTGGAATTATCCCTGAAGTCCTGCTGGCTGGGGGAATTCTGGGAATCGAAGTCCCCGCGTTTCCAAGTTGCTGAAGTCAAGAAATTATGAATGGTTTACCTCCCTCCCTTCCTTACTCATCTGCCCTCTCAGAGTTAGAGGTGTTCATTGTATTAGCGTCCCCACCCTGTTCAACAACGAATTGGAGCTACCGCTATCTTTCCACCCCACTTTCCACCCATCCAGATTTTTATATATCTTGAGAGTTTTGCAGTGATAATTCAGCTCCAGAAAAATAAACACAGGTGGCTGATGCTTCATTTAACATCTTTATAAACATAATAAGATTTTACAAACCAGTTGTAGATTTCTCCAACACGAAGCAAACTCAAGCAGAAACATATTGCAAAGTTCAGAGCAGAGCTCCAGTCTTCAGCAAGCAAGCAAGCAAGTTAGTTTCATCTTCAATAGACAGACTCAGAGCTCGACATAGCTGCAGAGTTGCCGAGCTTAATATATATAGCCACGCCTAGGCTACTTCTAGTTTCGGTTTCCAAACAGTCCTCATTGGCTGACGTAGTTGCTATGCCTATTCCTTGGCTGACCTTGTTACAAACATGCTCTTGTTCCAGTTCATGAATATACTGACAATATATCTCTCAAAATAATGCCTTGGTTAAACTGAGGTTATGCAACCTTGGAGGATCAGGGTTCCCTGGCTGGATTGGATACCCAGGAAAGCAATTTTAATTTCTGCCTTTGGATGAACAGAAAGAGAAAAGCCTCGAAAATTATTATTGGCAGACTGGCTCCCTCTAGTGGCAAAAGTCTGGCTTTAATTTATGGCCTGGAGAACTCCGGTACCGTTTTCGTATTCCTTTGCAAAAGGTTAAGGGCGTTTTAAGGGTTCCGGAAGCTCACAGATTTCATCCAGGAATGCAAAGCTTGCGCATCTCACGTGGGAGGGAGCTGCCACGTGTTTTTTCCCTGCTGCAGTTTAACACGGCTAAATTTAGCTCCATCGTTAAAAAAGAGACGCGATCCAGCTGCATCACAGCTAGGCCACCCCCTGTCCCCACCCGTCTCTTATTGATCATCTTGGGTTTTGCTGCAAACAAACCCAAACCTACATTTCAGTTTATTTTATTTTATTTGTTTGTCCAACATGTACAAGATAACAAGTATAGGCATGAACATAAGCAAGAATGAAGGGAGTAAATAGAGATAAATGGGGACAGTAGGACAGGGATAGTAGGGACGCTGGTGCACTTATGCACGCCCCCCCTTTAAGGACCTCTTAGGAATGGAGTGAGGTCCACGGTAGACAGTTTGAGGTGGAAGCTGGGAGGAGTTGAGGCTGTAACAACGGAGTTGGGTAGGGCGTTCCAGGCGTTGACCACTCTGTGGCTGAAGTCGTATTTTCTGCCATCGAGTTTGGAGCGGTTTACCTTGAGTTTGTATCCGTTGTTTGCCCGTGTGTTATTGTGGTTGAGCCTGAAGAAGCCGTTGACAGGCAGGACGTTAGAGCAGACAATTTTGTGTACTGTGCTTAGATCAGACTGCAGGCGGCACAGTTCCAGATTGTCCAGGCCCAAAACTTTCGAGCCTCGGAGGCCCAGGGAAATTCTACCGTGAGTGTAGGAGTGGAGTAATTTTCTCGAGAAATACTTGTGAACCCGCTCAGTTGTGTTAATGTCCGATATACAAGGAGGGTTCCAGGTGGATGGGCTGTATTCGAGATTATTAAATTATTATTATTGTTATTATTAAGTTATTATGAGATTATTAAATTAGAAGCAAATCTCTTGAAAACACCTCAAGAGGGGTCTGCGTGGGGTGGACGGGGTGTGTGTGTCAGAGGAGGAATGGACCAGTAGGAGAAATTGCTCTCTGGTTTCATCTGGTTCAGGAGCTAAACAAGAAAATGGAGTGTCCCCCATGGGTGGCACGTTTCTGCCTAGGTTTCAATTATTGGGCCTTCCCCGAGGGCTCCATCAATGGTTAGGTGGACAAGTCATCTCCCAAGCCTGATTAGTTTCATACTGTTGACCCCAGTTGACGGCACGGTCGGGTCAAAAGAGAGCAGTCAAAAGCGCACATGGGGGAAGTAGAAAAACATGTGCCAGTACATTGTATAGCAAAGTGTATGATTTATGTGGGGCGTTGAGAGACAAGGGCTTAAAGGAGACAATTCAGCTTTGTTGGGGATCACTGCCTATGCGAGAGGGGCCCTCATTCTACGAGCTCTGGTGGCCCAGGGGTTAGAAGGCAAATTCTGTACCACAATCTGGAGTTCAATCCTGACTGGCTCAAGGTGTCAGAATTCCAGCAATCGCTCTAATTAAATCATGATTCTCCAGCCAAACTTCCATAAACTTCAAAGGATCCATTAGAGGTGACGTACTGGCACTGCCCTGTATGCAGCCAACTCTGACACCTGTCATTTACCGTCCCCGGTGACCCTGTTTCCTCCCTCCTCTCTGGGTGTGTCAAAAATCAGCTTCTCCAACTGAGTCCATTCACGGGCTGGGTGTCATCAATCACGCTCTCCAATGAAATAGATTCGCAGGCAAAAGCTCTGGTAGTTTAGTTACAATCTTTTAAAGAGAAGAGTTGGAACGTACTTTTGCTTTCAAACCGATCTTCCAGATTTCCTTCCTCCTCCCCACCCCCTTTTTATGGCAACTTCTAAAACAGGTACAGGAATGTTTTATGAGTTGACACAAGGTTTCCAGGGTCAGTAAAATGAAGACCCAGACTGTTGGGGACAATAGGCTGGCATTTGTAAACCATTTAGGGCAGGGGAGTCAAACTCATGGATGCATCACGATGTCCACCCGTGGTTGAGTGAAGGGGGGGAAAAGTTGCAATACATCACATGACAATGACATGACAACGTGGGTTTGACACCCCTGACTGAAGAGAGCACTGTGGGGGTGGTATATCGATGCTATTGCTCTTACTATTGCTAGTATTTGCAATGGGAAGTTCTCAGCCTTTTATACTCATACTTCTCTATTTTAAAGTCATGTTTTACAAGTGGTCCCCACAATTTCCCCCTATAACAGGCCCCCTTAAGAAATATGAATAGGTAGGTAGTTAGATGATAGAGAGAGAGGTAGATAGATATAGATAAATAGAAAGGTAGGTAGGTAGTTAGATGAGAGATAGATAGACAGTCAGACAGATAGATAGATAGATAGATAGATAGATAGATAGATAGATAGATAGATAGAGACAGATGCTCATGTGTCCAATTTCATTTTCATTCCTTTCTTTCTTAACTAACCCTTGTATTTGATCTCGGTCCCTTTTCATCGCGAGAACCTCTTTAATTCTTGGGGAATTTGACATTGCAATTCCAGGCTGGCTATTCTCCAGGAGAAGAGAAAGAAATAGCTTAGGAATGATTGTTCCTGCACCTGGGAGGGTTTCTTTTTTTTTTTTTTTTTGCTTTTTTAAAAAACTGATAATGTTGTCAGCTGGAGAGATAAATGGAATATTTTGTTTGGGCACCCAGTGAAGAGCAAATGTAATATTTCTTGGCCGGCTGCCTTGAGAACATTGTTGGATATCAAGTGAAAGCAATGTTGCTAGAATGACAAGTTGTAAATTAACCGCCTCTCTCCAGGACTGGGCCTTTTGCAAGGGCTGAGTTGCTGCTGAAAAGGAAGGACTCCCGGGCCGTTGGGTGGACGGGCGGAAGGTGCTTCTGTGAGGTTTAGCCCCTGCTTCCCAAACTGGACAGCCAGGCAGGGATCTTCTCTCTGCCTCTGTTGAGATCCTCCCAATGACACTTCATGAGGGTTGGAGCGTGGGGTGCTCCTTAACTCCCTTTTATATATGAACCCGGCCAAGGTTCGATTCCAGGTCCTTCCGT